CTGCTTTGCTCACTATATATATTGAAGTGCTCTCTCTCTCTGTGGGTGGACATGTCTATATTTGGAAGTCTTTTTGCTGTTGTGCGCTGTTGCTTACTCTCGTCCTATTTCTCTCAGATCCTTAAGCCAGCCGATAAGAAGCTATACTACGGTGGAGGAGGTGGAATGGGCTCAGGACGTCCAGTCACCCCGCCACGAAATTCAGCCAAGGGTGGAAAAGCTAAGAAATAACACCCGCTGGATTTACATCTTCTCTCCAAAAATTCCCCGTTCTGACTCCACTCTCTTTCTCTACCTCCCTTCTTTCTTTCCGTCTCCAAACAGCTGTAAAGCAAAACAGTACCCAGGGTTTAAGTCCTTTTCTCTCTCTCTCTCTCTCTCTCTCTTTTTATTTTTTTCCTCATGTAACATTACAAATGTGTGTTTATATATGAGACTGCGTGTGTGAGCGTCGGTTATGTTTATTATGCTCTTTGTGTTTGTTTTTCCACCCATCCTTCCCTCCCCCTCCACTGCTCATTGCCCCCATCTCTCCACCTGTCTCTCTGTCAGGGAGTCTCTGATGAAGCCTCTGTGTAAACGCCCAGCCAGGCTCTGGGAAAGATTGAGACAGACAGAGGGGTCAAAAGGGGGTGGGTCGAGAGGTGCGGGTCAAGCCCCCGTCACTGTTTAAACAGAACTGCATTAGTTAAGAGAGCCAGTCTGAGTGAAATGTGATGCATGTATACATACATACACACACACACACACATGCAGGGAGAATGGATGTGCAGAGAAAGCGTGAGGTAGAGAGAGACTGTCACAGGTGCATAATTTCCATTTAGAGATCCAGTGATTTAAAACAAACAATCATGTTGGAACTTTTTACTTTTTTTGTAGATGGATCACAGCAAAAGCTTTGAAATTCTTTGCTTACTATGTGTGTTTTGTAGTGTCTTTTTTGAAAGACAATTATCAATAAAGAGAACTTTATTTAAACATCCTGTACTATCTATCTTACTGTCTCCAGTTCTCCCAAGTTACGACTCTCTTCCTCAGGTGTTTGCTGTTGTCAATCTGTCCTGTTCTCGGTTTTGACTGAAGAGGATTGAATGTAGTCTTTCAGGGTTGACCGAAGTTGACATTTGCTGAGAAGGACTGAGATTGTGCACCTAAGCATTTTCTGTTTGTCTCCAACTTGCTTGCTGCCTCATTCTCTCTGTCCTTCCTCTCAACTCTCTCCTCCCATCTCCTCCCGTTTGCCTTCCAGTTATGCTTTTTTCCATTAACCTTTTTAATTACTTAAACATAATTACTCTTATCTGTCCTATTGGTCTGTCGTCCTTCTCTTTTCACCCTTTACTAGTTAGCATTATCTGGGTTTTTAGCACTGGGTGTCGCACCCAGCTGCTGGATCTTGCTTTGCTCTTGCTAAGTTCAACTTGTCTCTTTCTTCTAGAGATCTGTTGTCCTTTTCATTCCCCTCCCTCCATTTCAAACTGTGTTTTGAGTTGTCAGGCAGGATTTAAAATTTGATCCATTTAAATCTCAGAGGAGTTGCTACTGTAATTAGGATTTAAGAGTTCTTCTGCTTGCCACACCAACTTGAATCACTGGTTCCAGCAGATGGTGCATTTCACACAACTCTAATTCACTAGTACTTTAATGCGTTTGTAAGAGATACGAATACTGCAAAGCAATACACTAGTGTCCTCTGCTGGCTCGAAGACACACTGAGTTCCTGTAGTGCCCTGCTTTATGTGTCCTGAGATTAATAGTTTTGTAATTTAAAGCAGAGTAGCGACATCCAAAATGGTTTAAATCAAGCAGCTCATCCTTTGATTTTGTAGCTTAAATCATGTCTTTTAAATTTTTTTGAAAATTATTACAATATATGTAATATTCTATATGGTGACCAAGTTTTTGAGAAAAGAAAAGTTAACTGCTTTATTTTTTTTTTTTTTTTTATGTAACATTTTTGGTCCGTATAGGAGACTAACACTGAAAAAGAGTAATAAGTGTAGTGATTGCACTCCTACACACTTAAATTGCTTTCTTGCATCACAGAACTATTTGTCATATACAGAACATAACAGTGGCAGCAAAACATAAGAAATCGATGCCATTGCTCATCTGGCATCTGTCTCGAAAATATATCATAAATGCCATAATATAATCATATCACTCTTTTCTGATAGATCTTGTATACTTTTCGGCGGATATTTTGAACCGAGTATATGTGCAATTAAAAAAAAGCAAAAAGTTGATGCATTTCCTTTTGGTTGATGGCCTTTCTATTATCTCTGATCTCCTCAGCAAGGCTATATTTGTGCACATCATATTTGCTTTACAGCAACACTGAGATTAAGACTTTATTAGTAGTAGAGTTGTTGTTGTTGTTGTTGTTTATTAATATATAATTGTACTTTTATTTGTTTTACTGACAGAAAGCAGGCTATTTAGACAATGTGATTTTCTTCCTCCTTTCACTTATAAAGCAATCAGGGATGATTTCCAATGATAAATCCTGTTTCTCAGCTACCAGAAACATAAATAAAGCACTGTATTTGTACTGGTTTCAATATTCATTATATATTTTTAATAACTAGGTATGTTAGTGTATTATGAGATTTTCCACTTTTAAGTAGGGTGTCTTTTAGTAAACTATATTAGACTAATTAAAGATGACAAATCTGATTGTTTCAACTGATATAGTATGAAGATTATAAATACTAAAATCATACAATTTTTGATTCCAGTAATTCAAAAATTGTATGATTTTAGTATAAATACTAAAATCATAAAATTTTTGAATTACTGGAATCACAGCTGAAAATGATTAGATAAAACAACACCTAGCCTTGAAGCCTGACTTACAGGCCTGGAAACCCCATGGGGAAAGTTTTAGAAGTTTATTTAATATTTATATTAGTTCTATAAGTTTTTATAGTTTATTCATACATCGGCTAAATTATTAGAAATCCTAATTTGGTTATTTAGGATTTTCATAACTTAAATATTTTAATTGAAAACTGGAAATCAAATAACACACAAATAGATTTAAAACCAATCCTTACTGCTTTGAAACAATGTGCAACACAACAAACAGCACAACGATATTTAAATATTACATTTAAACAGTACAAAGAACACAGTGAGGTTAATGAATATTTAAACATCTACTGAGCATAACCAGAAAACCTTAAAGGGATAGTTCACACTAAAATGAAAATTCTGTCATTAATTACTCACCCTCATGTCGTTCTAAACCCGTAAGACCTTCGTTCATCTTCGGAACACAAATTAAGATATTTTTGATGAAATCCGAGAGCTTTCTGACCCTGCATAGACAGCAAGGGAACTACCACGTTCAATTCAATTCAAATTTATTTGTATAGCGCTTTTCACAATACACATTGTTTCAAAGCAGCTTTACAGAAAATGCACGTGTCTACATTACAATTTAGAGTGCCCAGAAACGTAGTAAGGACATCGTTAAAGTGCCCCAATTATGCAATTTTTTAGGTTGCTAATATTGTTTTATGAGTCTCCTACGACTCGTGCGAAGCAGTTAAAAGAATCAGTCTTTCTAAACTCCTCCTTTCCGTGAGCCCTCACTGCTGTGATTGGTCAGATGGCGCAGTCCTTTGTGATTGGTCCAGAGCCGTAGAGAGATTGGCTCTGGACGAAAACGCCCATTGCCATGATGGAATGACAGCCCTGGAGACTTGTTAATACAAAGAAAAGATGGTATGGATTGTACTTTATCAATTCGAGCCGGAGTCTGATGATGAAACGGTTGAACTGGCTGATCGACAAGAGACTGATTCGCAAGCACGACTGGAGCAGGACGTTTCTCAGTGGTAAGTGCCAAGTGTTGACAAGTTTGTGGTAATTATAAGATGTGATAAAACAAGTTTACTCTCACACCGTCTTCTCGACATGATGTTAACCACAAGGAAACTTTACTGTTTGTGGGCGGGCAAGTTGGCGACATAGAACGTGGGCGAACATTATGCAAATATGTTACTTCGTGATATAGAGCCGTAACAGAATAAGATTCGAATTCCTGAAGACTCGTTTAGGCGATTGCGAGCCGACTCTTTTTTTTTGATAGACAATACATTTTCGCGCTTATCTCAGTGTTATTTACATTTTAAAATAGTTTATTGTTCGTTTCTGAAAAAGAGACACAAATAGAGACGGTCCCTAGAGAGAATAAGAAGCTAAGAAACGCGTTTTTAAGGTGGAACGGATAGCGTCAATAAGAAGCTGAATTCAGCCTCGTGTTTAAGTTCACATACAGCTACATGACACACTGCATGCAAGGTAATATTCGAAAAGGCATAATAGGGGCACTTTAAATATTCCATGTGACATCAGTGGTTCAACCATAATGTCATGAAGCTACGATAATTGTTGTGCCAAAGAATCAAAAATAATGACTTCATTCAACAATTTCTTCTCTTCAGCACCACAGGCATGCGTGGTACTCTCGAGAACACGTGTTGAATAAAGTAATTGTTGAATAAAGTAGTTATTTTGCGCAAAAAAATATATATATATTCTTGTAGCTTCTTAAAATTATGGTTGAACCACTGATGTCACATGGACTATTTTAAGTTCTCAGATTTCATCAAAAATATCTTAATTTGTGTTCTGAAGATGAACGATGGTTTTACGGGTTTAGAACGGCATGAGGGTGAGTAATTAATGACAGAATTTCACGTTTGGGTGAACTATCCCTTTAATCCAATTAAATATGCATTTATGATTTTGCCCAATAAACAGCCTACTATCATATTGCATAACTCTAGGAGGTCAACAGGACACAGTTAAAGAGATGAGGCGGGGAATGGGCTTCTTTCTCTTTCACTGATTAGTAGAAGCGCGTGGTATTTCCTACATCTGCACTCCCATAGGCCAATCTCAACGCCGTGTAACTTGGCCGGCCAATAGGATGAGAGGAATAACGCCGAGCTCCCTGCCACTCATCACACTAACCAATAGGAGCGCGACCATGGATGTCAAGGATTGGTTGAATTCACCTCCAGGACGAGATTTCTACGTTCGAAAACAAACGCAGTATAGAAAAATTAATGTTAGTATCATACCTGAATCATCTCAACTCTACGGTCGGTTTTCTGGTTTACAATCAAATATCTGCAGCAGAAACGTAAAAATCATGGAATATGGGAATACCAGGAGCAGATGGCAGCAGCGCTCGTAGCCAACAGGAAGAGCTAGCCTGCTAGCTTACAGACGGATTTCACTACGGACAAATCGAGCAGAAATTTAAAGGAAAGCCCGTCAGGTAAATGCACTCTTCTGTTTATTATACAACATAGATACGCTAGCGCCGCGTTTGCAAATCATTTTTTATTCAAAGTGAAGTATATCCTGTTTAAAGATTCAGTTTGGACCGCGATGGTCCGCTTATGTTCAGTGAGCTAACTGGACCCCTTTGGTTTGGGGTGAAGTCCGTTAACTCGGCTCCTCTGACAGTGATAAATGGCCCCTTGCGGCTCTGACCATTAATAACCAGCAGTTATGAATTGGAAAAATCAATTATCCTTTGACCTCTAGTCATGTATGTTGTTTAATAATTACTAATTGGCACGATCAAATATGCCTGACGACAGATGAAGGTGTGTCTGTGAGACCATGCGGCATGTAATATTGACTGTAATCTTATTTTATTAACCCTTTGAGTGTCCTTGTATATAGTATTTTTTCTCCGCTGTGCCTGTGATCTCAGCGCGAGTCGACAGTCCAGAGGTCTTTCTGAGCTGCTGTTTACACGCATTCCCGGAGCTCTTATTTTCACGCTCGAACTTGATTACAACGCAAGTGCTGAAGTGTTTTCTGACTGAATAGCTGCTTTGTAGTGCGACTCTTGACCTGCCGGTGGAGAGTAGGATTATACGTTTATTAATCCCCGAGAGGAGAATGTTTGCTTGCAAGACAGCAGCAAAAATCGACATGGTTATAATACACAATACCAAACAAGCACTATGCAATGCAATGTACAACAACGCCTCTAAATCGGGTAAAGCAGCTGCGATGACCCCAAAGCACAAAAACAAAAAATGAAAGGAAAAGAGAAAGGAAAAAAAAAGACACCCCATTCGGGGGGGGACTTTTTTTGTTCTTATTGTCATCAATGAGCTTAAGCGATTTTACAATAAGGGAAATCTCAGCACGAAACACATCAAATCTAGGCAAAGTCTTGAGAAATTTGTTTTTGTGAATAAAAAATGTACAATGTAACACAAAAAATGAACAACAAGATCAATAGCATGGTCACTGCCATGAAAAGTAAAGAAATATGATTTGAACTTTAAGCAAAAAGTTTCAATCAGGTTTTATAAAAGCAGATGGATAACAACTTAAATTCCCCTGAAGAGATTTAACCTGATTGCAATGGTACAATACACATAATACACACAAGTTAGAGAGATCAACAAAAGTAGCAGTTTGGGAGTTGTTTGGATGGACATTATGTAGACTCTCAAAAATGAACCTTTCTCTTTTTTTTTTATTATAAATACAATATATTTCAGACAGTAACCATGCTCTCTTCCAGTGAATACTTGCAAAAATTATTCCAGAACATTTTATATCTAGGGGATGTGTAAACTGAGTAATGTAACAATTGCTTTATATGTTTACTGTTACATTTTTTTTTATCGAGAAGACAAAATCCATCCAAAGCGTTTGGGCATACACTAAATATCTTCCTGTCATAAATAGGCTAGATTGATTACACTTACTCAGCATTGGCTCAATGTTTCAGAGTGTCTTCTTGAGGAAATAGGTATGGTATCTTTTTGCTTGGTTAGACATTTTTTATCGTTATTCTTCTGCCGTTTACACACTGTAAAATGTAATTGTGGACAATCTGGTGCATTCAGATTTTTAGGTTCTCTCAACTATTGTCTTAATTGTTCTGAGTAACACTTCTTTGTCAACTTAAATGTATACATTCACTAAATACAAAATGCTTCATTCATTCTATATATATATATATATAGAGAGAGAGAGAGAGAGAGAGAGTGAGAAAGGCATAGAGATACACAGATATGAGCTCTTAACATCACAAAACAACAAATAACTAACAATAACAAAACTGCAACAAAATAACTGAAAATTGACAAAACTACAACAAAAGTTCAAAAAGAGACATAGAAACAATCCTATAACAGCATGATTAGTTCATGCTGCAATGCATGCTGGGAACTAGCAAACCCTTAACATTTCAGCAGTATTGTTCAATTTGAAATTCAGCTGGGACATTTGGGGGAATTCTGTTTGTCTAACTGGGGTTTTTATGTGGGTTCAAGGTACCACTTACCTCTCTACACATTATTCCTGACAGCTGAATTAATAAGTGCTTTGTAAAGGTGAAAACTATTCAGTTGTTTCAGTGTTAAAGCAGTGAGGTTATTACTTTAATGTGTACTGTTTATGATTTAGTGGGTTATCTGTTCATCTGTTATTGACCACAACTACTGTTATTATTACAGTTTAGTTTTTCTCAATGAAAATGAGGGAAAATAATTTGGGATTCAAATCTACAAATTAAGGCTGCAGGATATATCGAAATATCGCAAATGTAAATATCGCAATATGCATATCGCAAGGGCGTGCGATATCTGAATCATTGTAATAATAGGCTAACGTTACTTAAATCAAAATGTTGCAAAGTGCAAAGTTTTAGTTCGAGGCATATAGCAGAGAATTGCTTGACGTTAAAAAGAGTTAAGTGCTATAAGTTGCAGAAAACAACTCTTTGCCGTCTCGTCTTGCTGTCTGACTCACACCTGAAGCGCACGCACAAGCCGCATCTCGCACAGCGTCTCTTCAGTTCTGCAGCACACGTGCAAAGCGCGCGCACACAGAGAACACACACACACACACACACAGACAGACAGACACACAGACAGACAGACAGACAGACAGACAGACAGAGACAGAGACGCGTTTCAGACGGCGCGCGAGTTGATTTGCGTCTCCTCCTTAAGTTTGGACAGACACATACACACAGAATTGTCAATAGTACCCGTCTCGACGATCATTCTCGTAAACGCAGTCG